ACAACAGTACTAATGCATGAAGGTACCAAAAAACTAAGTTAAGACATGCTACAGTACAACAATATGAGATGTTTAAGGACACAGAAGAGAAAAAATATTTTAAGCCATTAAATTTAACCTCTAGTCACTAGTAATTACATTTCCACTTTTTTTAAAATGAGAATTCTTTTGTTTGTTTGTTTGTTTGCTTGTTTGTTTGTTTTTCAGGGTTTCTCTGTGTAGCCTTGGCTGTCCTTGAACTTGCTCTGTAGACCAGGCTAGCTTCACAGAGATTCACTTGTCTCTATCTTCCCTGGTACTAAGATTGAAGGCATGCCGCCACCACCCGCCACCACCCAGTAAGATTTCTTCATTGTTATTATATGCACATAAGTACTTTGCCTGCACATATGTATATACATTGTGTGAGTGGCTTGTGCCCAAGAAAGTCAGAAAAGGATATCAGACTTCAAAATGCAAAACACCTTAGCAAGTTTTCTTAGCAGGCAACATCATTTACTACACATATACTGAGAAACCTAAGCAGAGGTCTGGAGACATAAGTTTAGACAAAAAATCAGGTCCCAAGGTGAGATATATACAGCCAGCTGCAGCTGCTGGGAATTACCAGGTCCTATGACATTCTTTTCTGTTCTAAAGGAGATAGTGTTTCCTAGCAACCTTCCCTTTCCTACATACCGCTCCCTTAAAATATAGCAACACCTGTGCTTAAACCTGAAGGGTGCTCATCACTCCTCTTCCATAGCAGGTATTAATTAATGGCCAGATGTTCTCCAGATGGCCTGGCCAGAGCCGTTAGAAGCCTTGGCGCCTAAAACGGGCCAATCATTTCAAAAGTCAACCTGCCCCTAAACCTCTTACCCAATCATGTGATGCCAAGACTTAGAAAGCCCCACTTGCGGCTTTTTCCTTTAGGAACCCCTTCCCCCAGACCTCATGGTGGCTCACTTAACCTGCTGCTCAGGGAACCTGTTTGCATTCCAAGCTCGAATAAACAAACCTTCATGTGAATTACATCGGATGAATTACATCAGAGTCAAGTCCTGGTGGTCTTTGGGGGTTTGAGATCTGGGCATAACAATACATGACTACTTGACTTCAGTCCCTGAAGAGAGGAAACTGGTAAATGCCATCCTCTGACCTTCACATACACGCTATGCCACACAGCACACTCACATGCACATGAAGACACACATGTGCATGTACAACGTGCAATGTAGTAATAATAATCATAATAAAATAAAAAATTGAAAAATGAAAAAAATGTGACCCTGCAGACACTTGGAAGGGACAGACTGCCCAAGTGAGTCCCTGGTTTGCTTATGCCAGAAGCCCTCCACTGTTTTCTCAGATCTAACCTGTGAACTCCTACTCCTCTGGAGAGGTTTTAAAGACTCCTTGGTTCAGCCCACTTCAACTTAGCGTCACCATCCTTGTTCCCCAAAATTCTCTGTCATTCCACTGAACCCACAAAGTTATACCCTACCACTCGTTCATGTACATTCAGGTCTTGTGTGATTCTTTTTAATTTTTTTGAGATTATAATATAATTACATAAATTTCCCCTTCCTTTTCTTCCCTCTAGACTATTGCTCTCTTAAACTCATGACACTTTTCTCTTTGTCATTACATATATATGCATGGGTACATACTGTGTGTGTGTGTGTGTGTGTGTGTGTGTGTGAGAGAGAGAGAGAGAGAGAGAGAGAGAGAGAGAGAGAGAGAGAGAGATTGTGTGAGAGATTCTGAAATACATAAATATCATCTGGTCAGTCTATCAGTCTATGTAATGTTACTTGTATGTATCTTCTCGGGGTTGACCATTTAGTATTGGATACCCACTTGATGATCTCTTCAGCTCTCTTCCCTGAGGAAGACTATTCCCCATGCCCCATTCCCAGAATTCCTTAGCTGCCAGTAGTTCTTTATGTAGGGTTGAGTTATCCCTCTTAGCTTGTCTATTGGTTGTCCTTGTTCAGGTCATGCTCAGGCAGCCATGTTGGTGATACTCCAATGGCATGGCTTCTGTGGTATTTTTAGGAGACACAGTATCACAGCAGATTTCCTGTTTCTCTGGCTCTTACAATCTTTCTGTCCCCTCTTACCCAATGGTTCCTGATCCTAGGTGCAGTATTGTGCGGCTCCACAACTCTGCAGTTAAATGAGTTGTGGATTTCTGTAATGTCTTTGTTGAAAGGAGAAGTTTCCTTGACTTTGTGCTTTTAAGACCCTATAAAAACTTCAGCCTTTCTATGAAGGCCCTGAGTCCCTCTGCAGAAGGTTATTCCTCCCTCCCTCCTCCGAGCTTACTTCATCTGTCCCTACTAGACTATGGGATCTGCAGCTAAAAGCTACTACCAAAAAGTAACAACAACAACAAAAACCAAACCAAACCAAGCAAACAAACAAACAAACAAACAAACAAAAAACCCTCAACTGCTTGTCATAGCAAAGTATCAATCAAGCAGTTAGGCAAAAACTTGAGTCTATCTACCAAAACTGTTTCAAGGGCTAGACAGATAGTTCGGTACTTGCTCTGAAAGCATGAGGCCCAGAATCCAGATCCCTAGTACCTAAATGCCAGCAGGCATGGCGTTCTGCTGCATGGATTAAACACATTAGCAATTGGCTCCGAGTCACTGACAGTGCATCAGGAAAGAAATAAAAGCACTTCCTCACTTGGAGACACTTAACCAAGACTGAGTCCAGATTTGAATTCTCCACTTTATGCTCCCCATGTCCTGTCTGTTGTATGAGACTGAATCTGTATCTGCCTGAAGGCTGTCTTGTGAATTTGTCTCTGTATCTATATCAGTGTGTGACTCTGTCTGTCTGTCTGTCTATGTCTGTGTGACTGTTGTGTGACTATGTCAGTTGTGTGACTGTCTCTAACACAGGCTTTGCTCTGTATTTATTGAACAGCACAGAAAACATCACCTGGGGAAGGAAAGGGACACATTATAGGAATCTTTAACAGGATTGGATTAAGTCACTGGCTCCAACTGGTCCCAACTGATTCAGACAACAAACTGTACTACAAGCATCACTGCATATCAGCCAATATCCATAAATAGGTATTCATTTTAGAAGGGTGCTTTCAATATCTGTATCTGCTGCTTTCAGCAAAAAACGGTAGCTAGGCATTGTTTTGGGTCCACGGGCACGGAAGAGTACATAACTTAAGATTAGGGCAATGCTTTCACTTAGGTTGTAAAAGTTCATTAATTAACATGAGAAACCCAAGGCAAACACTGTTGATTGTTACACTATTCTCTTAAATGCAGATAAATGCAGGTTAAATAAGCAGGCTCAGTACACAGTAGGATAGCAGTCTTAAGTCCATTAAGTCTCAAGGTACATTCTTAATTCTGACTGTGAGATCCAGCAAAAGTTCCAGTCTCTTAGAATGTGTTAGACTCTTTTTTAAATCATAATACTGCAGTACCACGGCCTGCCTGCTAATTCTAGTCTTGGAGTGCAAAGATTGGGGATAATAGGGCAGACCAGCCATACTAGTGAGCTCTGGGGTTGATTAAGAGACCGTGATTCAATAAGTAACATAGAACATCGATGGAGGGCTGATTCCTGACATCAGTCTTGGGTCTCTGCATACACATGCTTGCACATACACTCACATACACACAGACCACACACACACACACATGTACACACACGTACACACACACATACACACACACACGCATGCACACTCACAAGCACCTTCTTTCAGACATGACGCCACATGCTTGTAATCCTAGCACTCCAGAGCCTGAGGCAGAACGATCATAATTTTGGCTACCTAGTGAGACCCTTGCCTCAGAAATTAAAAGCAATTAAAAGTAAAACATTTGATAACCGCTTACTTTTAAACTGGTGATATTGAAAATGCTTTAAACTAAGTGAGTTCATGAGTATGTGAGTGGACAGGAAGATAATATCTCACCAAATAAAATAAGAAAAAATCTCAAAATATAAGAAAATTAATCACAGGCCCATCCCACAAAGCATTAATACTTCTTTAAAGCTTTTATTTTTAGTGTTTTTAAAAATTTTTTTCCGGTATTATTTATTTATAATGCCTGGGATTGGTGTGGAAAACTCCGTATATTTCCACATATTTGTAGAATTCTTCACTTTGTAAAACTTGTACAATGTTTCTTGATATTTTTATCACTAATGTTATGAGTATATTTATGTCACTTTATCAATTTTAAGAGCTTCATAAATAAACAATACAATGTATATACTATAATTTGATTTATAATTCTTTCGTAGTGAAAGGTTTTGTTTCTTTAGTTCAGAGTTATAATGACACCAGGTCAGCTGTCTCGATGTTTAAAGATGGCTTTAAATTTGGGTTGTTTCCATAAAACTCTTTCCTAGAAAGGCTTTTTCTAGCTTAAATGGGCATAAATATTTTTAGACTTTTCATATATTAACACCCACACTTTATGATCCACAACTAATGTTCAACCCAGTGGCCTAGTCATTCTGTGGCTGATGATTGGACAAATGTCTTAAATGTGACCTCATGTTCCCCATTGCTCGAGCTGCGAGTGCTTTACCTCAGTTCCTCATGGTGGTGGTAGGAGGGACTGTTGTGCCACCATCCACAGCTATTCCATCCATGTGGTTAGAGAAGATGAGAAATAACAAGAGTTTCCGTTCCATGGCAAGGAATGGGGTTGGAGTGTTTATTCACAGAACAGTTCTCATGAGAAGGGACCAGCTAAGAATAGCCCTGGGTTGACATTGTCCTACCTCCTCCTGCTCATAAGAGAAACTATTTCCCCACAAGAAGTAAGAACAGATCACGAGTTGAGAACTGAGACTTATATCTCAGAGATGCTATTCTTGGATATCCTGAGCCCCTGTGGTCACTGGGGATCCTGGGTTGTGTAATATTCAACATGACACTATTGCTGTGCTTAAAATTTTCCCTCCTCAGCCCCGGATTCCATTTCCTCATCTGCCAGGGCTACCTATAAGAGAAGGGGCATATGGCTTCAGACACCAGAAGGACACAAGCGGCAGCGAGTACCAATCCCTCCTCTGCTCTGCTGACAAGCGCACCCTCCGTCACCGGCTCGGCAACATGAAGGCCTCCACCGCTGCCCTTGCTGTTCTTATCTGTACTATGACTCTCTGCAACCAAGTCTTCTCAGCACCATGTGAGTCCACACTGCTACAAGAGGTGTCCCCAGTCTCTGGTCTAGGGCAAACCACAACAGTCTTTTCTGTGGCTTCAGAGTCTACAAGAGAAGAGAAACTGGTCTTTCTCTTTGAGAGTTTTATTTTCCTCTCTATGGCATGGGAAGGTCTAACCTTTTATAGGAACTCAGAACTTGAAATCACAGAGAGGGTGGTGCTGTCATGTACTTACCAGCCAGCCCTAGGATTCCTAAGGAGCTCTGCCTCTGGGATGCCTTATGTGACACCCTGGTGTCTTTTATGCTGACTTCTGGTATTAGAGACAGCTGTGGGAAAGACACGGAGCAGCACAGAGAAGAGAAAGCCCACAGTGAAGATGCAGAGAGAACAGAGACAAAAACAAACAAACATGGGGGCATTTCTGGTCCCAAAAGCCCAAATGCCTTCAGAGCCTTAGCCTTCCAACTCTCATCCCAAGCAAGGCAGCCTTCCTCGCCTCTTAAGTTGTATTAGCTGTCCTGTCCTGCTCATTGGTGACTTGAATTTGTTTTGTCCATTTCCCCTGCAGATGGAGCTGACACCCCGACTGCCTGCTGCTTCTCTTACGGTCGGCAGATTTCACGCAAATTCATCGCTGACTATTTTGAGACCAGCAGCCTTTGCTCCCAGCCAGGGGTCATGTAAGTTCTGTTCTCCTGCTTTTTCTGATATGGTGGGGTGTGGAACAGTGTGAGAGAGGGTTTCTTAGTCACGGGTGGTGGTGGTGGGGAGTCACAGAAAGGGAAGCACAGAATCATCTAAAGGGGACTAGTGAGAGAGGTTCTGGAGAGTGTCGCCAAGGATAGAAGGGATGGAGAAATCACAGAGTACATCAGACTCTCCCATAGGATGTTTTAATTTCTTGACCCTCACCTCTCTCTGTAGTTTCCTGACCAAGAGAAACCGGCAGGTCTGCGCTGACCCCAAAGAGACCTGGGTCCAAGAATACATCACTGACCTGGAACTGAATGCCTGAGACACTTGGAGGCAGCAAGGAATCCCCAAACCTCCATGGGTCCCATGTAGATCAGAGGGGCTTGAGCCCCAGGACATCCCTGTCACGTCCATAGCTCCATCTCCTATAAGCTGTTTGCTGCCAAGTAGCCACATAGGGGACTCTTCACTTGAAAGTTTATTTAATTTAATTCTATTGATTTAATACTATTTAATTTTGTAATTTATTTTATTGTCATGCTTGTGTTTGTAACTATTTATTCTGAAAGACTTCAGGTCACATACCTCAACCCCCATCCACCTCCTGGCTGTTTGGTGACAGCTATTCTAGATAGACATGATGACAAAGTCATGAACTGACAAATGTACCATGAATGTTTTGTCTATACCAGAGAAGTAATAAATATGCCCTTTAACAAGTGACTGGTGTTGAGTTTTATTTTGTTTTCTTTTTCTGGAAAGTCGGAATTATTGTTTAAGAAGAGTAACAGCAAGAATAGGAAGCTGTAAGATGGAAATTGGGAGTGTGGTGGGAAGGAGTAGGGAAGTGAGACTGAGAAGACTTCCAGGGAGTAACACCATACTGGAAGTCTGGATCTGGAACCCTAAAATGGTGGCTACTTTGTGAATCAACTCATAATGAGCCTTCACTAGAGAAAGTCACCATTTAAATAATTATGCCATCCAATGGAGTATTAGTCATGCATACCATAAATCAAACCTTATAGGAACAATTTTGAGGATTGCTCTCTAAATTCAGTGTTATTTTTATGCCTTGTCCATTTGATATTGGTTTTTGGATTTGTTTTGAGATTCAGTTTTACCATGTAGCCTTGTCTGGCCTGAAACTCAGAGGTCTGCATACCTTTGCTTCCTGAATGTTGAGATTAAAGGAGTATGTCACCATGCCATACATTCCCTGAAAGCTTATGCTTCAAAGGATTGGTTCCTGGTACAGCAGGGTTCAGAGGAGGAGCCTTTGGGAAGTGGTTGGTTCCTGAGGGCTCTGACCTTGTGAATTGTATGAAGTCATGCTTTAACGGGTTTGGGGAGTTGGTTGGGATTTCTGTGGCAGAAGTAAGACCTATTTCTCGGTTTCCACTAGCAGGCAGCTTTTCTCCTCATGCTTCTGCCATGATAAGGCCTCACCATCTGGCTGAAAGTACCCTGTCCAATTTCCAAAACCATGAGCCAAAATAAACCTTTCTTCCTTTGAGCTGAGTCTCTCTGCTCAAACTGGAGGTGACTTCAGTTCACCTGACAATACAGCCACATCTGTCATGGCCACTGTGGAAACGCCTGCTTAAGCTCCAAGCATCATTATGTAAGTGTCTTTGTTTCAGTCACCATTGTTCCAGATTCCCTGAGATTGTTCCAGCAGTATCAGTTTGCCTCCAGTAGCCCAATAGCTTCAGATGGCGCTGTGGCACAGCCAGAGAGCCATGAAGCCAGCACAGCAGTCTGACGCACACAATCCAGCAAAGCTGAGTCAACGCTGTTTTCACCATTGTGCTGTCTTTCACTCTGGGTTTCTGATCTCTACATGTTGCATTTGTGGGGGACTTTTTACATTATGATTCATTTATATCTTTCCCCCAGAATTTATTTCTACTCTCAAAGGAGTAACCTTATCTGGCCCTACTTGGGATTCTTCCTTGCCATGGAGATTATGAAAAGCACAAAAAGTTGATCAGCCCCAGAGTTCTGTTGACACACCTGCCCCTAAGAAAACTCAAAAACGAGAGATTTGGCAACTGATCAGATTACAGGCTTCCTCCTATATGTAGTGTACAGGACATGGTCCCCAGAAAATAAAATGTAAATGAAAAATAACAAAGATAGTTTGCCTAAAACAACCTTTGATGATGTATATGATATAAAAATAGTATATAAAAGAAATATAAGAACTTGCCAATTGTATGGAGACTGGCTCACATAAAGTTACAGTGGGGTCTTTTAACTAAAAAAACAGAACACAAGTGAATAGAACAAGTCAGCCTGCAGCCTGGGAAAGCTTTGAAACTTAAGGCTAACTCACAAGTTGTACTTCAACAACTGTGCGTTGTTCAGGGCTTGGGAACTCACCTAGGCTGATTCAGATATTTTTCTATCTGTTTAACATTTCACTTTCCTGAAGAATGCAATGTCATATGTCATAAATGCTTATGTAGTCTAAAATGATTTGAAACTGATAATACCTATTCTCTCTGTACTTTTAAGGAAGAGTCTTTTTTTTAATTTTTTAATTCCATTTAGTCTCCACTCAGAAACTAGGCCATAAACCATTTGCTATCCATCCTAAGTATAAGGTACTTTGCTTCTGAGGCTGATCTGACTGTCTGGGTTGCTCCGAGGCAAGAAGCTACAAGTCTCCAGTAAAGCAGTGGGAGGCTAGGTAAAGTAGCCTTTGTTCTATCTCAACAGGAATTGCCCAGCTCTAGGTTAAAGACTCCCTCAGGAAGAAAAGAGGAGAGAGGCCTGTCTCTGCCCTTTGTTCTCAGCACTTCTATGACTTTCAGAGTGTGTGATCACATGGTAGAAAGTTCACTATGAGTTTATACATAAATTCAGGTCATAAACTGACCTGATTTAAGAGATTTATAATAGAGGATATCTACATGCATATCCTCTAGGAGTAATTATCTGGCTAAACATTTATCATTTGTTACTATCCTACAGGTTCATAGACAGTTAAAAACTATAACTAAGTTGTTCTTGAAGTTTTGTGTATATACAAATCCAGTCAATATTTTATCTCCTGTCCTTGGACCTGTGGTGTACATGTTTAGCTCCTTCTTTATGATCTTTGGTCAATGGTTTTTATAACCTCTTGGAATGTACTCTAGGTTTTAGAAGTCTGTTTATTATCTTAGAAGCAATTAAGCAGGCCTGTTATAAAAGGGGCTTAAATGCCTTTGTTTGGGGTCACCATCCTGAAGCAATGGTGTCCCTAGCTTGCTGTTTTTTCTGAAGAATAAACACTCTTTGTTCTTGCATGCTATTTGGGTCTGGGGTCTTCGTTGAATGATTTTCAAACCCTAACAGTAACACTTGTCCAAGAACAAAATGACTCAATTTGTATTTCTTTTGAAATCATAAATTTATCTCTTTTGTGGAATCTGCATAGATAAACATCCTGGTTGCTAGTCAGAGATGCAAGATTCACCCAGCCATGGTCTCTGACTCGTCTATCCATTACTCACATCCACCTGTTCCTTATCTCCTTGGCTAGGAGCTGTCTGAATGCTGGGACTAAACCACCAGGAATACTGCCTATAGCTGTTCTGGATGTTCCTGATCATCTTTAAGATGTCCTCAGTGTTAGCATTCTATCTAAGCTCTGCCCCACAGTTACCTGGCAACAGCCAGGTAGGCCTGACCCACTATAAAATGGGCTGCTTGCCCCCTCCTTGCTCTCTTGCTCTTCCTTTCTTGCTCCCCTCTCTGTCTCCTTGCCCCTCCCCCCTCTCTGCCCATCCCCTTCCTCTCTCTCTCCACATGCTCATGGCCTGCCTCTACTCTTCTTCTTCTTCTTCTTCTTCTTCTTCTTCTTCTTCTTCTCCTCCTCCTCCTCCTCCTCCTCCTCCTCCTTCTTTCTTCTCTCTCTCTCTCTCTCTCTCTCTCTCTCTCTCACTCTTCCCCTTTCTCTGCCTCTACTACACTCTTAACTCCTATCCCCATACCCTTAATAAACTCTATTCTATACTATACCATCGTGTGTCTGGTCTCTCAGGGGGAATTGATGCCTTAGCATGGGCCAACCAAGGTACCTCCTTCCCCCATACCTCACCACACCTCCATAGAACATATCTCCCCCCTTTATTTTTTTTATAAACACTTACACAGTACAAAGGGGAGAAGCATGTGTTCATGACAGCTAAAGTGAACAAGATAAGTACAACTCTACAAGCTGGGTGGGGGGAAGAATTAAGCAAAATATTTGTGGTCAGCAGACAGGAGACTATCCATCTGTGTGTCTGGTTAAACAAGCAGCCCTTCTTACACCTTCTTTAGGTCAGCCCAAGAGACTCCAAGATGATTTGCCACTAAAGTCCCAATAAAATCTCACCCAGGGAGGTTCATTGGTAGCTTGTGGTCTTTTATCTCTGATAGAGTGGGCTGAGTTAGTGACACAAAGTACAGACAAATGTAGAACTGCCTGCTCTAGGCTCCCCAAGTAGCTAGAAGAGTGCCAAAGAGTTTCAGGGTGTGTCTGTAAGTAGTATCTTCAAGATGAGTCTTTAAAGTGGCAGAAGTTCTGAGAAGTGAGAGACTATAGAGGACCGAGGAAGTCCTCAGAAAACAGAGACTGCAGAAGAACTATGGTGGCAGAGGGCTGAGAAAGAGCAGCCACCAAAGGACTATAAACATCAGTTCAGGTGTTGAGCCCTGCACTCCAGGACCAGGTGGGACCTTGCTGACCGAAGGGGCTTCACTTGGGGATCTGTAGTTTCTATCTGAATAGAACAAAGGAGCCCAAAGCAGACCCCTAAGACAATGATGGCTCTCAAAAAGGTGCTTTGGGGACAGCTGAGTGAGTATCACTTAGGAACTAGAAACACACGTTCCAACCCTTTCCCAAGCAGGAGGCCCATCAAGCCTCTGGGGCATGTTGGTGCATACTAGAATTTAAAAAAAAAGCCTTAATGTTCTTTATCTCTGCGTATTCTGTTTTATAAAAGGAGAGAAAAGATATCTTTATGGAGCAAGGTATGGTGAGGTGGGAGGGATGGTGTGTTGTATATATATAAAAAAAAGAAAAGAAAAAGAAAAAAAAAGGAGTCAAGGAGATGTTTGTCAGATTCAGGTATGGTGAGGTGGGGGAGGTACCTCTGAGGGCCCATGCTGAGGCATCCCTTCCCCCTGAGGAACCTGCCATATAATGGAT